AGTGTGACCGTCAGTAATTCGGCACCTGATGGAGTTGTCACAATGGGCCAAGTCACTAGTAGCTTGTTGATGAAGAAACTAGAAGAAAATCAGCGGGTTCCTCTCATTCGGAAGCATTTGTTGTGAGAGGCCGAAGCAAAACAAGGGGGAGGAGTAAGACTCCTCATGGTCGTGATCAAAGCCGTGACAAATCAAAAGAGTTTCTTTTTCAAAGAAAGACATTGAGTGCTATTATTGCCATGAGAAAGGGCACATGAAACGAGAATGCCGAAAGCTCAAGAACAAAGAGAAAAAGCGTAACAAAAGTGTGGATATAGAAGCAAGAAGATACAACGGCAGTTACTACCGATGATCTCATGGTCGTTTGTGAAGATGATTGTATTAATTTTGTGGGCCAAGAGAGCAATTGGGTGATTGATTCCGGTGCTTCTTTTCATGTGACTTCTCGAGTTGATTTCTTCACTACCTACACCAAAGGAGATTATGGTTTTGTTCGAATGGTAATGAAGGTTTGTCCAAGATTATTGGCATGGGTGATGTTTGCTTGGAAACAAATTTGGGCTGCAAGTTGTTGCTTAAAGATGTGAGGCATGTTCCCGATATTCGCCTCAATTTGATCTCTACTGGGAAGCTAGATGATGAAGGCTTTAACAACAAATTTGGTGATGGAATATGGAAGCTCACAAAAGGTTCTTTGGTGGTGGCTAAGTGCAAGAAGACTCATACACTTTATTCGATGCAAGGAAAAATTTGTAAAGGTGTTGTCAATGCACTTGAAGATTGATACTTCTACCGAATTGTGGCACAAACGGCTTGGCCATATGAGTGAAAAGGGGCTGCAAGTATTGTTCAAGAAAGAGCTTCTACCCGGTTTGAAAGGTACACATCTCAAAACTTGTGTTCATTGTTTGGCGGGTAAACAACATAGAGTTTCTTTTCATAAAAATGTTGGTTCTAGAAAAGAAAATGTTTTGGAGTTGATTCATTTGGATGTTTGTGGTCATTTAAAAGTTAGAACACATGGTGTGCACTTTATTTTGTTACTTTCATTGATGATTATTCAAGGAAAGTTTGGGCTTTTCTACTAAAAACTAAAGATCAAGTTCTAGAAGTATTTAAGCATTTTCAGGCCATGGTTGAAGAGAAACAGGGCAGAAATTGAAGTGCATCCGATCAGACAATGGTGGTGAATACATTGGGCCATTTGATGAGTATTGTTGCAGCCAAGTATTCGGCATCAAAAGACAGTTAAGAAGACTCCTCAACAAAATGGAGTTGCCAAGAGGATGAACCGCACTATTGTGGAAAGAACAAGGTGTTTGCTTTCACAAGCTAAATTGCCAAGATCCTTTTGGGGTGAGGCATTGAGACAGCGGTTGACGTGATCAATTTGTCTCCTTCCTATCCTTTGAATGGTGATGTTCCAGAAAGAGTTTGGACCGGTAAAGATGTGTCTTATGAGCACTTGAGAGTGTTTGGTTGCCGAGTTTTTGTTCACATTCCAAAGGATGAGAGGTCCAAGCTTGATAGTAAGTCAAGACAATGTATTTTTCTTGGCTATGGGCGTGATGAATTTGGGTATAGATTGTGGGATCTAGTCAACAAGAAAGTCATTCGAAGCCGTGATGTTGTGTTTCTGAAGACCAAACAATTGAAGACTTTGGCAAAGGTGATCAACTGGAGCCAAAAACTAGTGTCTCATTGACATGGATCCATCTCCTTCATCTTCAGTTGATGATGAAAATGGGGAGATGTGCATCCACCTATTGAAGAAGTTGAGGATGATGCTAATTCTAATGAAGTTGAGCCAGAAATTGAGGAAGAGCATCCAACTCAAGAACCACCACCACAACTTGAGTTGAGGAAATCTACAAGGGACCGACAACCTTCAAGAAAGTATCCTCCTAATGAATTTGTGTTGATTTCTGATCAAGGGGAGCCTGAGAGCTACAAGAGCAATTGAGCATGTAAAGAAAGGTGATTGGAAAAAGGCCATGAATGAGGAGATGAATTCCTTGCTTGAAAACCAGACTTATGATTTAGTGAAGTGCCTAAAGGAGGAAAATTTTGAAAAATAAGTGGGTTTTCAAATTGAAGAATGATGCAAGAATCTGAGGTACAAGGCACGTTTCTTGTGAAAGGTTTTGGGCAAAAGAAAGGTATGACTTTGACGAGATTTTCTCACCAGTTGTAAAGATGTCTTCTATTCGGGTTGTACTTGGCATGGCTGCAAGTATGAACCTTGAAGTTGAGCAACTTGATGTGAAGACCGCATTTCTTCATGGTGACCTTGAAGAAGAAATTTACATGGAGCAACCGGAAGGTTTTGTAGAGAAAGGGAAAGAAAAATTTGTTTGCAGATTGAAGAAAGTGTTGTATGGCCTCAAGCAAGCCCCGCGGCAATGGTACAAAAAATTTGACTCTTTCATGATGAATAATGGTTTTTCTAAAACCACTTCGGACCGTTGTGTGTTTGTGAAAAAATTTTCGGATGACAAATTATTATTCTTTTGCTTTATGTTGATGACATGTTAATTGTGGGTCAAGATTCTACCATGATAAACAGGTTGAAATTGGAGTTGAGCAAGTCCTTTGCTATGAAAGATTTGGGACCGGCAAAGCAAATTCTTGGTATGAAAATTGTTCGTGATCGCAAAGAGGGGCTGATTTGGTTGTCTCAAGAAAGCTACATTGAGAAAGTTCTTGAGAGGTTCAATATGGATAAAGCGGAGCCGGTTGGTTGTCCACTTGGGGGTCACTTCAAGCTTAGTTCGAATCAATGTCCTACAAGTGAGAAAGACAAGGAAGAGATGCTGAAAGTTCCTTATGCTTCA